AGTCTAAAACTATTTTTAAATGAATGAGAAATTAGTCAATGTTGTTAGCTTGAAAATCATGATTTTTTGAATTAAAATCGGGAAATTCAAAATCACATCGTCGCTCAAGCGGGCACCTCGCATTTAGTGAGTAGCTGTGTCCTCGCTGTGGGCGCTCGACCGGCATGTTGGACGGGTAGCTAGGTTAATGCTCGCGCATAAGGTTTGGGTCGTTGCATTATTTGAGAACCATCATAATTTGATCTCTTGAGGCACTCTATCAAATGATTCCTTGGATGGGATGTACTGCTATTACTAGATCTACTTAGTTTCTTCTTGCAATGGACACAAACAATATAGCATGTATCTGCCTTTTTAACTATCTTTTGAAGTGATTTCAAACCACGTAATCAATTTCTTTGCTTTCTTGGCAGGGATCTCAACAAAGATTTCCATGACCTGAAATTAACATTAGCATATTATCTGCATCAAGAAACGGCGAAGTTCAAAAGACAAAACTTTCATAAATAATGAAATATAAAATTGATTAAACAATCTTGGTAATAAACTATTGGAAAATAGTGCTCAATATGGGACTATTATGGCATATTTTTGAATGGGATCTGTTGACCTCCAAAAATGGCTCCTCCACGTGGCCAATTTATAGCTACTCCACGTATTCCTCCCTGCGAAATGAACAAATGGTCAGGCGCACACGGTCGAAACAGACGAGGGTGGTGGCGGCCGTATACACTTCGACGGTCAAGTCAGGTTTGGGTGGTCGGAACAGTGCCCTGGGGCTACACAAATCAATCAATAAAGGGGGAGGAAAATATATAAACTTGTTATGCAATGCTATGTATTGAGAGTTTCATTACCTTTGCCTCTTGCCAAACTTTGGGTATTTATAGGTGGTATGGACCGTGGGATGTGGAACACGTGTATACATCTGACGGTATGAAGCGTCTGCTCATAGGCGTCAATCAGCCGCGCTTGTAGAGTGGGCGGACAGTTTGTTTTCCCCCGAGTTGAATTGACATAAAGTTGATAAGTCACATCAAATAGCCTCATGGGGACATCAAATCAATTTAAACCCTAGATGCAGGACAAATCTTAAATTGGCGGCGGATCTTCTAATACTTCGGCAGATCAGTAGTAGGAATCGATGTATCACTTCGGAGAAGTGTCGGGAGGATCGGAGTGGTCCACTTGATCTTGGCTTCGGTGGTGAGATGACAGTTCGGTATCGAGGCTCGTACAATCGAGGCGTAACAGTGGTCCCCCAAATCCGGGAATGAATATTTATATTATACGTGGATTTGTTTTCCTGATCGGACCGCAGCGTGGGGGTAGCTGAAACTTTGTAAAGTATGGGAGGAAACGCAGCGGTCGAGGCGATGAGCCAATGGGGCCTTTGCGTCAGGTGCGTCCAAACTTTGTAAAATTTGAGGGACTCATCTCGCACCGATGCGTTGGTAGGAGAAGGTCGACGCGTGGGGAGATGGTTGAAACTTTGTAAAGCATGGGAGGAAACACAGTGACCGAGGCGATGAGCCAATGGGCCGTTCGCGTTGGGTGCGTCCAAGCTTTGTAAAGTTTGAGGGACTCATCTCGCACTGATGCGTTGACAGAAAAAGCTCGACGCATGGGGAGATGGCTGAAACTTTGTAAAGCATGGGAGGAAACACAGTGACCGAGGCGATGAGCCAATGGGGCGTTCGTGTCAGGTGCGTCCAAGCTTTGTAAAGTTGGAGGAGAAGCTCATCTGAGGCGACCCAAACGTCCAATGATTTGACAACTGTTGCGTGTTTCCAAGGTGACAGTTGGGTACCATGCCCATTCTCCTAAAAGGATGCTGCGGCTAGTAATTATTATTGACGGCTGTTTGTAACCGAGGTGACGCGTTTCAATTTAGCGTGAAATTCACAGCGACATCTTGGGCGTAGATCAAATCTGGCGTTTCATTTCAACGGCCGGGATTGAGGATGCGACGAACGGTTTAGATTGATCGTATTTGAATTCAACGGTGGAGATTGGACTTGTCTTTCCTATAAAAGGTGAACTTTGGGGGTTTATCAGAGTTTGCCAGACGAAAACCAAAATTTGCTCTCAAATTTCCGACGATTTTCGGCGTTTTGCAAGCAACTCCGGCGAGAGAGAATGATACTTCCGACGATCCTGCACCATTTCCGGCTAGGAAAAACTTCCAAACCAGTAAGTTTCAGCACCCATTTGGACTGTAAAAAATTTCTTAACGAATGGTCTCGGAAGGGAATTCTGGTTTGGGGAGGGGGTTGGAAATAGTGAGGGTGGACGAGCCCATTGTGGCGACCTCCTCAGAAATAGTTGGGGCAATAATGGGGGGGGAGAACATATGGAAGCGACCAGATAGCCCCCCGGATACTTCTGTGCATTGGCGGGCGTCGGACTACCCATCAAAATTGAGGGAGGCCGACCTGGGTAGACTTAGAACAGAATATAGGATCCCAGACAGTGTAGACTTGATTCTCCCCGGGTCGGAAGAGAGAGCCTGTTACCCAAGGCCGGGCTGTGTAGCCATTAGTGAGGCGATCCTTAGGGCCGGACTTAGGCTGCCTATCCACCCATTCTTTAGGTTGGTGCTTAGGTCTTATGGACTAGCCCCGACGCAACTCAACCCAAACTCCTGGAGCCAGATGGTGGGCTCCTGGATGTTGTGGAAAGAGGCGTCGTTAGGAGTGGAGATGCCCCTTTCCGTTTTCCAGACCCTCTATATACCCAAGGTTACTACCGGGGGAGATAAAACCCGAGGTTGGTACTACCTGACGTCATGGGGTTCCCATACTCCATTCGTGATCGATCTGCCGAGCTCCATCAAGGAATGAAAGAGCTCATGGTGCTGGGTAGCGGGGCGATGGGACACAATGGAGGGGGACCCCCTGGCACCTCTTACAGTCCCGGCAAAGTTTTCAACACTTAGTGAGTATAGTAGTTGCTCTTTTTGTTTCTCTTCGGTTCGTCTTGTGTTTAACAGTTATGTTTCCTTTCATAGGTTCCCTTTCTCGGTGCGAGCTATCAACAGAGGACTTTGACACTATCTGTGTCATTTATCAGCTGCCTCAGAAGAAGAGGTCCTACCACAGGCTGATCCGGAAGAACGTCCATTTCATCACTCACGACTTAATAGCGTCTCAAGGTAATAGGACCGAGGCCCATACTTTTTTATTCCGAACTCCCTAGACTTGTACTAATTCCTTATTCATTTCTTTGCAGATAACTTCAGCAAGAAGCTACCAGTACGCCTCGACTTCAAGACCATCCAGAAAATGATGGCTGAGGCACGGACGCTGAAGGCCTCCTCTTCTTCGTATAAGAAGCAAATGGAGGAGCTGGTGGAGGCCAGTAAGAGGCTTCGACCTCCGATGGAGGAGGAGGTTCAGGAGGACCCGGAGGCTGACCTCCGAAGGAAGGGCAAGAAGAGTGCTGCCCCTCCCAGACGCCCAACTGTGGCGAGGCTACCCCTAGTTTTGAGACAGACAACTATTCTCATGGGGGTGGCCCTCCCAGAGAGAAGCCCCGCTGCGGCAGAGCCTGTCGCTGCCCCGGACACAGCGCCCCTTACGGCCGTACCCATTGAACAAGTTTCGGGGCAGCAGAGGAGGAAAATGGCCCACTCCAGCAAAGAGGTTGATTTCCTTGGCACCAACCCAGAAGAGCCCGTAAGGGAGGTGCTGGAGGCTCTCCCTCCGAAAACAGCTGCGGTGGCGGTGGTCCACAGCAAATATTGGATTGAAGAGTGGAGGGACCACACCGCCTCCTGCACGGCTGAAGACTTGGTGGCGGCAAACAGCGCCTGCGTGGCCCGGGCACTAAGCACAAGTATCCAACTCGAGGGCTTGGTGAAGGATCTAAACTCCAAGAGGGAGGACCTCGCCAAGCACTTTGAGGAGGCGATGCACTATGGGGACGCTGTGCGAGCTGCCCAGGCCAAAGCTACCAAAGCAGAGGAAGGGAAGAGAGCTGCTGAGGTCCAGCTCGCTGCTTCACAGGCAGAGGTGGAGCGGCTGAAGAAAGAGCTCTACGAAGTGGAGTGCCAGGTGGCTGCGGTGACTCGGCGACTTGATCACTCTAACGAGCACCACAAGCTCGCCACCGATGCTCTGGAGGCCTCTAACAGAGAAGAGGCGGAGCTGAGGCAGCAGACAGAGGCCCAGTCAGTGGAGATCGCCTCTCTGAAGGAGGAATTAAAGTCTGTGGGGAAGGTGGCGGTTCAGAATTTTATTGATCACTTCGAAGACCATCCCCTTTACGACGACTCTGCCAACTTCTGGGCCTCGTGGAGTGCCCAAAGCCTACTAGGTCAGTTGAAGGAGGTGCATCCTACCCTGGACATCTCTCAACTGGAGGCAGAGTTTGGGGGACCCACTGGAGGTCGGCCTGATAAGGTTACTGAGGAGGCTCCAGAGGCCCAGGAGGCGGCCAGTGCTGAAATTCCTTCCACAGATTAGGGATTCCTTTTTATTTTGTAATGGCTTCGGCCCCCCATGTACTTTAATTTTGTGAAATGGAATGGAAAATTTTGTTAAATTTCTGTTAAGTCTTTTTGCTTCTGCTTCTTTGTATTCCTTTTGTTTTATACTTGTATGAATGACAAACGTTAGACTAATTGCCTCGTGACAACGATCAGTTAACAATTGTGAACTGGTCCCCTTAAGCAAACATAAGTCCAAACACTTAAGTGAGAAGGAAGTGATTCCTCACTTTAACTTCTTGATAATCTGAGGTCAGACCAATTGGGGAAACACGAGGAACCGCTTGTTCATCAGCTAATAAGTGACGATCGGATCACTCAAATGAACCTTCCGAAGAACTGAGGAAACTATTCCCTAGCTGATCCGGTTTGGAACTGAAAATTCATTACTAGGATAAATTTCACCACCCTTTACAAAGGCGATTCCATCACTTAATAAACTTTACAACCAAGGTCAGATCAGAACAACCGATTAGCTATGACAACTTAGGATCAGATCGGAACAGTCTTATCACTGGTAGTATTTTCTCAAGTGCTCGATGTTCCACTTGTGAGGTAGCATCCTTCCTGACATATCTTCGACCTCGAAGGTACCAGGTCGGGATTCCCCCCGAATGCGGTAAGGGCCTTCCCAGTTCGGGCCAAAAACTCCTGACCCGGTTGGTTTTGAAGATTGAAAAACTCTTTTGAGGACGAGGTCGCCCAAGCGGAGAGTTCTATTTCTGACCTTGGAGTTGTAAAAGCGGGTCATCTTACGATGATATTTCGCTAAGGTCATCTGGGAAGCGTCTCTCTTTTCTTCAAGGAGGTGTAGTTCACTTATGCGCGCCTCATCATTGCTGATCTCATGCCTAAGGGTGATGTGGAGTCGAGAAATCCTTATTTATGTCCAGTTCGTCGCATAAGTCTCGCATCTTCCTGTTGTCGAACTGCCGCCCATTATCAGAGACAATAGAGTGGGGGATGCCGAATCTGCAAATGACGCTCTTCCAAACGAACTTCGTTGTATTGGCCTCGGTGATTCGGGTAAGGGGTTCTGCCTCGACCCACTTAGTGAAGTAGTCGATGGCGACAATGGCAAAAGTTGCGCTTCCCCTATCTTTTGGTAGTGGACCAATGAAGTTGATGCCCCACTTGGCGAATGGCCAAGGGCTGGTCACTATAGAGAGGCTCTGAGCAGGCTGTCTTTGCACGTTCGAGAAGCACTGGCATTTGTCACATTTCCAGACAAATTGGCAAGCATCCCTCTTCAGGGTTGGCCAGAAGTAGCCCTGACGGAGAACCTTGTGTGCCAGAGCTGTTCCTCCGGAGTGATTTCTGTAGATCCCTTCATGTATCTCTCTGAGTATGTAGGTGGCCTCTTCGCCGCCCACACATCGAAGAAGGGGCGAAGCGAAGCCTCTCTTGTAAAGGGTTCCTTCTAGAAGGACGAAGTGTGCAGCCCTTCTTCTTAATTTTCTTGCCTCGCCTCTGGAAGCAGGCAGTGTTTGTTCCTTTAGGTACGCGATTATGGGCTGCATCCACAATGGGGTGCCTTCTATCCATAGTAACTCTTCGCCTTCGAAGGTGGAGGGCTTCGATAAGTGCTCAATGGGGACGATGTTTAGAAGCTCTGAGTTCATGCTGCTGGCTAACTTTGAGAGGGCATCTGCATGGGCATTTTCTAGACGGGGGACTTGAGTCGGTTCGAACCTTTTGAAATGGGGAATTATGTCCAGAACCAGCTTCAAGTACGCAAGCATGTTACCATCTTTGGCTGTGAAATCCCCATTTACCTGATTTACTACGAGCTGAGAATCACTGCTTGCTAGGAGCTTCCTGACCTGTATTTCCTTGGCGAGCCTTAGTCCTGCCAGAAGGGCCTCATATTCGGCCGCGTTGTTCGAGGCTCTGAAGCCGAATCTTACCGCACAATTTAGCAAAGGGCCTTCCGGGCTCTCTAGCACGATTCCCGCCCCCGCGCCAGCCTCTCCTGAAGACCCATCTACAAACAATTTCCATGTGGGGGGCTCGGTTGGTTCCATTAGGGCCTCCATTTCTGGGGCTTTGGTAAATTCGACCATAAAATCGGCAAGGGCCTGGCCCTTGATATCGTGTCTAGGTCGAAATGTGAGATCGAACTCGCTGAGCTCGATAGCCCATTTCAGCAGGCGTCCCGACACGTCCGTTTTCTGCATCACTTGCCTCAAAGGAAAATTGGTGAGGACTTGTATTGAGTGGGCTTGGAAATATGGCCTCAGCTTTCTCGAGGCTGTGATGAGTGCGAGTGCCAGTTTTTTCATGTCGGAGTAGCGTGTTTCAGTTGGGAGAAGTGCTTTGCTGATGTAATATACCGGCAATTGACGTTCATTTTCTTCCCTGGTTAGGACCGCGCTGACTGCCACATCTGAAACTGCTAGATACAGCAACAGAGATTCATCCGGATGGGGTTTCGACAGGAGGGGTGATTCACCGAGGTGTTTCTTTAGAGACTCGAAGGCTTCTTGGCACTCCGAAGTTCATTGGAATTTCTTTCCTTGCTTCAATACATTGAAGAAAGGCAAACTTTTATCAGTGGCTCTGGAGATGAAGCGGCTGAGTCAGCTATCCGGCCATTGAGACTTTGGACCTCCTTCGGTTTCTGAGGTGACCTCATTTCTAGTAAGGCCGCTACCTTTGCCGGATTTGCCTCAATTCCTCTCTGATTTACAATGTATCCCAAGAACTGACCTGATGCCACTCCGAAAGTGCACTTGAGGGGGTTCAGCTTCATGTTATACCTTCTGAGTATCTGAAAGGTTTGGTCAATGTGGCTCACGTGTTCGGCCGCCTGGAGGCTTTTGAGCAACATGTCGTCCACGTAGACCTCCATGGTTTTGCCAATGAGTTCCGCAAAACATCATGTTGACTAACCTCTGATATGTGGCCCCGGCATTTTTCAATCCGAAGGGTATAACTTTGTAGCAATACAGCCCCCTGTCCGTAATGAATGATGTAGCTTCCTCATCAGGCCGGAACATGGGTATCTGGTTGTACCCTGAGTACGCATCCATGAAAATCAGTAGTTCATGCCCAGCAGTGGAGTCCACCAGTTGATCAATTCTTGGAAGTGGGAAGCTGTCCTTGGGACATGCCTTATTCAGGTTTGTGAAGTCCACACAGACCCTCCATTTCCTGCTGGACTTTTTCACCAGAAACAGGTTGGATATCCACCTCGGATATATGGCCTCTCCGATGAAACCACTGCGATTAAGTTTACTTACTTCGTCTCTCAGCGCCTCGTACCGTTCCAGGTTTAGGGCGCGCCTCTTCTGTCTATGGGGGGTATAGGAGGGGTTGATGTTAAGGTGATGGCAACTAATCCTGGGATCTATTCCCACCATATCCTCATGTTTCCATGCGAAGACATCCAGGTTTTCTTTCAGGAATCGTATCATCTCAATTTTTGCTTCAGGCGATAATGACTTTCCTATGCACAAGACTTGATTGGGGTCTTCTGGATTGACTGGGAAAGTTTCCAGTTCTTCCATTGGGGTCGCATTTGGTTCATAATCGATTATTCGGGGGTCTAACTCATCAAGAGGGTGTCCTTGTTCAGGGGCCTCTTCCATTACGACATCTTCCTCTTGTTCAGAGGTATGCCCTTGTTCAGGGGCGTCGAGCATTTCCACGTCCGCACCGACTTTAGCGGGTACTTCGGCTAGAATTACATTGACAGTTCGGGGCTCAGATTTACGTAGCGAGTTTAGGTAGCATGCCCTAGAGCCCATCTGATCGCCCCGGACCGTTGCAATCTCACGTTCAGTTGGGAATTTCATGCACAGATAGTGAATGGACGTCACAACCCAAAGATCTTTTAGAGCAGGTCTGCCCAATACTCCATGATAAGCCGACCTGTGATCTACCACCAGAAATTCCATGAAATGCTGGGCGACCAGGGGGGCCGAACCCATCTCCATAGGCAGGGTAATCCGTCCTCGTGGGATGATGCTGTCCCCAGTGAATTCGAATAGTGGGTCGGTCATGGGGATTAACCCATGTTCAATTTGTATTTTGTCAAAAGTGGAGCCGAACAATATGTTCACGAAACTGCCGTTGTCAACGAGCATGCGTTTTAATCCGTTTCTAGCCACTACGGCCCTTACAACCAAAGCGTCGCAATGGAGATGGTGAACTCCCTCTGAGTCTTCCTGTGAGAAGGTGATTGGGGCCATCTTGTTTGCTGATTTTGATTCGTCGACAATGTAGGTGATCATCGGGGGATCCTTAGCTTCTTGTGTATAATTTCTCTGGGCATTCCTAGTGTTGCCAGCGACGTGGGGTCCCCCAATGATGGTATCGATTTCCCTGACGACCTGGCTTCCAGCGAATTGGGCTTGGTTCTCTTGCCTGGATTGGCCTCGGTTTCTTGATTCTCTTCTGTGAGGAGATTGTTCCTGGTGACCCCTTTCTCCCCTCCTCGGGGAGGTGGATCTGCGGGGGTGCTCGTTTCTGCTGGAAGTGTGGGGGTTGCTTCGATCAGGGCGCCGGTTGGCATCCCGACACTCGCTGGTGTCATGCCCGTATAGTTGATGGAAAGTACAAAATCTTGCTCCTGGCAAGGGCCTATTTGGCCTCTTTTTCTTCTTCTTGCTGTTGTCAGTCCTTCCAGATGGTCCTGCCTCAGCGGGTGCGTTATCATATGCCAACACCGGCACTGCGTTCAATGTGGCGGAAGCTAGGGCCTGTCCGGATGTGGGAGCTATGGTATGCCCTGCTTGGGTCCATTGCTGAGTAACAAGGTGCGCTGCGGGGCCTCGACCTACCTGCCTCTGTGGGGGAGGGAGTCCCTGCGCGGCACGGTTGCGATGATCAATCATTTCTTCACTAACAATTTCCACCCTCATCATCTCTACCAGCTCGTCGTATGTGGGGGGATTCTTGCTGCGCACGTCCCTCCAAAACAAAGTGTTCATGTTGAGACCACCTTTCAGGGCTGAAAGGGCTTCCCTGTCAGTGACCTGCTCGCAGTAAGTAATCTCGTCTATAAACCTGGCGAGATAGCTTTTCAGCATCTCTCCAGGGCCTGCCTCATGTCTTGCAGGCCTTGGATTGGCGCCTCTCCTTCCCTGCGTGAGAGATACTGGTTCAAAAATGCTTTCTTCAAGTCCGGCCAACTTCTGATGCTTAGGGGAGGAAGCCTACTGTACCACACCTCGGCGGCTCCGCCTAGTGTCAAATGGAAGGCTCTGCACTTTAGAGCAGGTGAGGCTCCCCTAAGACTCATTTGTGTCATATACTTTGTGAGGTGCTTCTCCGGATCCCCTTTTCCCTCATACTTGGGGATCTTAGGGGGTGTGAAGTTAGTTGGCATTGGGAAGCTTCGGATTTCCCTTGAGAAAGGGAGGTTATCGTCATCGTCGTCAATCTCATAAGATCGACAAGACCTCTCTGATCCTTCATCATCTTGGATGTCTTGGGGTGGAGGAGGTGCTTTTCCCCGGCTCCCCCAATCGACTAACTTTCTCCTCTCCCTCCTATTTTTAGGAGGAGGGGGAACATGCTCTTCTTCGTGGTCTGACCGGACCTATCCTCTGGAAGGGCGGACCCTATTGCTAGGATCGTTCCCTATCCGGTCGAAGACGCTCACTGACCTCTGGTCATCGTATTCTGGAGGAAAGTTGTCCCCCAAGAGTGGTTCTGATGGGTGACTCTCCTGCACATAAGATGTCGCTTCGGTGTTCCCCTCTCTTTCGAGAGGACGTTCTGTGTGCCTGCTCATGTGGCCTCGAGAGTGAGACAAAGGGATTTCCTGTACCGGATAAGATCCTTGGGGCTCTGGTGTCCTTGGGCTTGCATGAGAAGTTCCCGCATCGCCATATTCTGAGCTGCTATGTCTCTTATACCCGCTGCTATCTGGGCCATTCCTTCAGTGAGTATGGCTGTTCTTTCGCCTCGTCGACGCCGGTGATGCGGTCTCTGATGAGTAACATTGTTATGGAGTACCTCTTCTTCAGAGGCCTCTCTCATGGGATTGTCTTCACGGCTGTAGCTCATCCTACCTCTTCTTTCAAGGGTAGTAAGAACTTGGATTGTAATCCGACTTTTGTTCTTTTTCAAGAATGCCCCCTTCTCAGGGTCAGTCGCCGATTTTCCGGTGTCTTCACCGATGGGAAATGTAAAACTTCAAATGGGGAATGAGTTTCCCACAGACGGCGCCAGACTGTTAACCTCCAAAAATGGCTCCTCCACGTGGCCAACTTATAGCTACTCCACGTATTCCTCCCTGCGAAATGAACAAATGGTCAGGCGCACACGGCCGGAACCGACGAGGGTGGTGGCGGCCGTATACACTCCGACGGTCAAGTCAGGTTTGGGTGGTCCGAACAGTGCCCTGGGGCTACACAAATCAATCAATAAAGGGGGAGGAGAATATATAAACTTGTTATGCAATGCTATGTATTGAGAGTTTCATTATCTTTGCCTCTTGCCAAACTTTGGATATTTATAGGTGGTATGGACCGTGGGATGTGGAACACGTGTATACATCTGACGGTATGAAGCGTCTGCTCATAGGCGTCAATAAGCCGCGCTTGTAGAGTGGGTAGACAGTTTGTTTTCCCCCGAGTTGAATTGACATAAAGTTGATAAGTCACATCAAATAGTCTCATGGGGACGTCAAATCAATTTAAACCCTAGATGCAGGACAAATCTTAAATTGACGGCGGATCTTCTAATATTTCGGCAGATCAGTAGTAGGAATCGATGTATCACTTCGGAGAAGCGTCGAGAGGGTCGGAGTGGTCCACTTGATCTTGGCTTCGGTGGTGAGATGACAGTTCGGTATCGAGGCTCGTACAATCGAGGCGTAACAGGATCCATTCCTTTCTTTTGAAATAACACATGTGATTCGTGTTCCCCTTCATGAGAACATCGAAATTATATATTAACTTGTCAAAAATAATAATCGCATCGACAAGAAATTAAAGTTCAAAGTGAACCCATATAAAGTACTTACATCATCTTGTGGCCATGCAACACATAAGTAAACGAGATAAAAATCCAGTGTAGTTGGTAGTCAAAGGAGCAACCTAAGAGGGCCAAACAAAGTATAAAATAGAACATTTTCGGTATTAAGTCCTTGTTTGGTTTAGATAAAAGAATCAGATTTTTAGTAGATTTTAATAAAAGTTGATAAAATGTATGGTTAAGAAAATGGCGGATCACATAAACGTGCAGGTTAAATTAATTATGACTTTAACGTATATTTTAATAAACTTTTTAAACTGACCAAACATGTGCTAAGTTTAAATCTGTGCTTTTGTATGTCGAATATGAGTATCTAAATTTTATGTTGAGTATTTGTTCTCAAATATATCGTGTTTGATTTGAACCATTTGAGAACCATCGATAGCTTGATGATGATGGATGTACCATATGCTTGTGATAACAAACACCCATGATTTGCATAAAAGATAAGTATATACCCTTTGAAATCGTGTGGTCAATGAATTAAATTTTTTGAGTTAATGCCTGTTTTTATTAATTGTCAATTTGAATAGGGATATAAGCAATATTACTTCAAAAGCATGTCGAATAATTTAAGATCACACGACATTTTACTTGAATGATATTGTGATTAACTCGGTGATACGTGAGTTCTAGCATTTTAATCAATTCAAACATTTCCAAATGATTTGTAATATCTTACTTTTTATTTTGATTTATTCGAGTCTAGTTTAGAAACTCTCAAAAATTGATTTTTCAAATAAAGTTAAGATAAGTATCATTTAACCAATAAGTTAAATGGTCCTCGTGGAAATTATATTCAATTTAATAACTTTTCTACTTATTCAATAATAGATACTTTCACTCATAATGCCATATCATAGTTTAAATTTAGCCCTGTTGTATAGATGCTACCCTTTAAATTTATGGCACTAGTAGTTAGCGACTATGAATTTAATTTAAAAAGTACGAAGGACCTAGACACTATGAAAAAGATTTAAGTGCTTGCCTGGTATAGTTTTAAATGTTAATAAAAAGTTGATGTAACACAATTCTTAATTTTTTAATCACATATTTTATCAGCATTTATCAAACAATCTCTAATCTTTAGCCCATATTCAGTACAGTTTCTAGGGATGGACAAAATGTCCAGACTAAATCAAAATCAAACCAAACCAAGCAGTTCGATTTGATTCTACAATTTTATTTTTAATGATTTTTGTTATTTGAACTGAGAACCATTTGGTTTCTATTTTGGTTCGGTTCTAATTCTAGAATCAAGAGCCAGAACTAGAACTAAAGTTAATTTTTAATTTTATATTTTTATATATATTAATTAGTGGCGATCCTAGTTTTGTATTCATTAGAGACAGCCCATTAATTGCGTACATTTTAATCTTGTAATCATTTGAATTATTTTCCTTTTAACTCCTTTTCAATTTACACAACACTACAACATGATGACACTGAATTTCATCACGTCAGTGAAGAAGACTTCAAGATCGAAAAAAGAATTGGTCAGTAACTTAAAAAGCCTTTACACTAATTATTCATCTTGATTGTTTGATGAATTATTTGTGTTCTTTATTGGGGGTGGGCGTGGGTCGATTCGGTTCAGTTCTAAAGAGAATCGAACCAAATCAAAATTTTCGGGTATTTAGTAAATGGAACCGTCGGGTCCAAATATAATTGTGGAACCGTTCGGGTTCGGTTCCATTCGGTTCTGTACTATAATTAAATTTTTTAACATTTATAACAACATTATATAAATACAACTAATGACATATTCAATGGTTTTGAAATGTCAGAGACTCGTAGACTACCTTATTCAAATGATCGCTACGGTTAAAATTTCGGTTGGCGGAGGTCACAACGTCGGTCGACGATTGTATAGGTTTTGGAATGTCAGCGCGGCTGCGAAAGTCGAGACAACGTTATGCACTTTAGTGTAGGTGTTTAGGGTTATTTAGTAGGTTGAATCTTGTTGGGCTAAGAAATGAGACAATAAAAGGGGTAATTGGGCAAAAAATTAAAAAATTAGAAATGAAACAAATTATTGGGGCAAAAATTTGGATTTAAAAATTGTTAGTTTGTTAATTTGTTTAGAAAAAATTAAAATTAAAATAATTTGATTTATTCAATATAAAAAAAATTAGAAAGATTCGGTTCTTATTCGGTTCTTCGGTTCTTGGTCTAGAACCGAGAACCGAACCGTACCCGTCGGTTCTCAATTCAGATACCCATTCGGGTATTTAATTTCACAAGAACCGTCGGATTCGGGTCCGGTTCGAGAGATTTGTCCAGCCCTATTCTTCACAAATAGAGGAAAATTCATAAAACATGAACATAGTATTAAATGATTAATGGTTGCCTATAAAAGTGGATTGTAAAAATTTTGCGTAATTCACCATTTGTTATGGGGCTGTACCTTCAAAATTGCTGTAGTTAATTTCGTGATTCATTGTTATTACTTATTAAGCTCCCGTTTGAGCCACATTATGGTAAAAATGAGAATGAAAAATATAGTCGTTATGTGGCTTACACAAAAGATAAAAGTCAAATATAGTGATTTAATGTGATAAATAACGATCATATTTTTCATTTTAATAAAGAAATAAAAGGGCTCAAACAGGCCTAAACAATCTTTATATGAAAATGGAAATTAATATGTATATTCAAATTATGGCTATATTTGTTTGTTAGTCTGGACTTTGTGACCTTCATGATTGATAATATGAAATTGTTGAATGTTTGATTTTTTACTTTTTTTCATTTAGGTATATACCACTAACTTGATAAGGTGCAAGTCTGAAATTTAAAAAATGAAATTAGAACAAAACCAAATCAAACCAAAACTAAATGGTTAGGTTTCGATTTGGTTCCATATTTTGAAAAAAAAAAAAAAAAAAAATTGATTCCATCATTAAAAAAAATCATTAGTTCGTGCTTTGGTTCAATTATCTTAGAACCAGGGAACCAAAACAAATGGAACTATGAGCATGTTTGGTAGAGATTTTAATTCAATTAACATCAATTTTTTGACCTTTTTTTCATTATTTCAACCGTCATTTTTGAATTATTCTCTCACAAATAGGACCCACTTTATCTCTAATGGTCAAAAAATCAATTAACAAAATTCCTACCAAACAAGCACTACTCTTTAAATAAAATAATTTTGCCTGTGAATTCATATTTTTCCCTATTTTTAACTACAGATTATTCAAAACAAAATATTTCTCACAAAATCTATTCGATAAAGTAAAATATATATATGCACACACACACTTCAAACGCTTCCTTAGATTTCTAGCTTTAAATTACAGTACATCGACTAAAGCAATTGACATATATGTCCTTTTCCCTCTATTCAAAAACCGAAAAAGAAATTTATAAGATTTTTTTTTTTGGGGGAAAAATAGGGAAAAAATATTTATAAGATTAAGCCTATATATTTGGCTCATGTTTATGAACTGTTAATTATAAATATTTAAGTCATTTTTTATTTACACATTTTGAAAAATTTATAATGTTATCAATTTTTTAATCACTTCTTTCATCATGTATATAATTTAAATCGTTTATAAATACTTCTTAAACATGCTTGCCTAAAATACAAGTTAATTTCATTCATACATTTCAAGAAAATCATAAATAAGTTTCACTTATTTAGTATTTATTTTTATCTATTTATAATTTGAGCTGTTTATAAACACTTCTCATGCCTTTGTTTCCCTCATGTTCATAAATATTTAAAAAATATTTATAAACAATTTAAATTATAAATAGATAGAAGTTAGCGAAAATAAATATAAAAAATCTATGAACAATTTATGAACCTAGTCAAACGAGTCATCTGAACGAGTTGACTCAATAAGGACTCATGCATAACTCGTGGCTAACCGCCTTTCTAAATATCTTCATTGAGCCACGCTGTCAGTTTAAAACCCTCTCATCCCCGTGGGATTCGCTATTCTGCTATCCATAGATTTAACAGTATCACCTACTTGGAAGATCGAGATTGGAGGTGTATTGAGGTAGGATGAAGATTCAGTGCAACGCTTGTGAGGTAGCGGAGGCGGTTATACTGTGCTGCGCCGACGAGGCGGCGCTGTGCCGGGATTGTGATCAGAAAGTGCATGCCGCCAACAAGCTCGCCAGCAAGCACCAGAGGGTTCTTCTCACTAACTCCGCCAATCAGATGCCCAAGTGTGACATCTGTCAGGTATTTGATGTTTGAGCTCAGTATTACTGTTTCGTATTTTCTGCTTGAGTTTTTTCTTTTACTGGGTTTGAAGTTTGATAATTCTTGGATGGTATCTTCTACGGGAAATTGAAAAATGATTGATCAGGGGGAGAATTTTTTATTTTTTTATAAATTATGCTGATACATATATAAAAAATATATTTCATGATCTTTTTATTTTTATTTATTTATTTATACCTTGAAAAATAACTGGGCTTGAGGCTACTCCCTTCTTCCGGCGCTTGATAGGTTTCTTGAACACTGATGTATTATAATTTTGAATGTGCTTTTCGACTCACCGAATTGATGATTCCTGGGGTATTATTATTATTATTATTATTTTTTTTTTTTCAGTTTCATTCTTTATAAAAGAATTATTTTAAATTCATGTATTCTGTTACTTGTAAATAAAAATACAGTAACTACAAATTTTATTTATAAGTAAAAAAATTACTTTATATTTAAAAAGTCTACTTATCAGTAGAAATTATTTATAAAAATTCACTTTTGTGTAAAAAAAATTATGTATAAAGTAAAATATATTATTAAAAAGATAAAATTTTACTTAAGTATAAAAAAAAAATTTATAAATAAAAAAATCCTTATATGTAAAAATTACTTAAAAATTACGAAATTAGCCCTCGTTTGGCCCCCATTCTTGTCAAATTTTAATGGTTGGAATAGTATTTTTTTTAAAAAATATGTGGTTAAAAAAGAATGAAAAAGTTTTTGATTTGCGTATAATATTATTTTATGGAAGATTGTGTGGTAGAAAATAAGAGGGAGAAAAAGAATGAGAATGAGGACCAAACGGGAATATAAATTTTACTGATAAATAAAAAATTACTTTTAACTTAAAAATTCAATTACAAATAAATATTTAGTTAAAATTAACTTATATATGAAAATATTACTTATAATTAAAATATACCTTATAAGTTAAAAAAAAATTTACTTTACAAGAAAATTATATATATATATATATATATATATATAGTTTTATTCTTTTAACAAAATTTTAAGAATTAGTTGAATTGTTATAAAACCCGCTTCTAAAATTCACTAAAAACTGGATCTCCTATAATCCCCAAAATCGGTAACTTAAAAAAGCTCCATAATGGTACCCAATTTGAGCTTTCAATTATTTTTACTGGATACTGGATGTGCGAACGTTCAATTTGAGCTTCACCACCTTAATCTTGTTCACTTGTGGTAATTTTTTAGACAGATCCCATAAGTCTCTTTTACCTTGTTAAGGATTTGATATCCTTCATACATTTGTGCAGGAAACATTTGGTTATTTCTTTTGCCTTGAGGATCGAGCTTTACTGTGCAGGAAGTGTGATGTTGCTATACACACAGCAAACTCCTTGGTGTCTGCTCACAATAGATTTTTACTTACTGGCGTTAAAGTAGGACTTGAAGCTACAGAACCTGGTCCATCTGTGTCTTTGGGGAAGTCCCTCTGTAATGAGAAAACCTCAGAAACAGAGAGACGGACAACCCCTGCTGCATCAACTGGTCAGTATGTCAAAGCTTTACCTCTCCAAACCAATGGTGGTGAGGGTTTTGTATGGTCAAAGTTGTCTACTGCTGGCGGTTCAGCAACTGAAGTTTCGCAATGGCAGTTAGATGATTTTATTGGTTTTGGTGATTACACTCAGAACTATAATTTCATGGATAATGTCTCATCCAAGGTATGATTTGAGTTGTAAATTCCATCAATTTATGCTTGTTGCCTTCTAATTTTTCATTGGCCTTTGATTTTATCTTACAAATATTCCAGAAACACGAAATGCACGTCCTTTCAAGCCATCATTGAAAGAGATTCGAACTTTCAATAGAATTAACCCATAAAATGGATTAGCAATCAAAAGCTTTAGTCCACTCAGCCATCTCCTATGTTGGAAAAATTAATTGCTTCATTACGCTTACACATAATGTTACTTTTCCACCATTTCTTCAAAAGACCTTGCTGTCCAGTGCTGCTTGGCAGCAAGCGCTTGACTTACCCTGAAAACCATTCTAGATACATGCAGATGTCCTCCATCTCGGTCGAATTACTTCCCATTTCACCAGGGCTCTTCAAGCTCCCCACCCATTGACTCAACCTCTCTCTATAAAAAAATCACAAATTAGTCGTACTAGGACATTCGATTTTTCCATCATATGGGTATATATACAAATATTGAATTTCCTTCATTAAAGAAGGGGCTGAACTAGCCTACAGAAATAGCAAAATGAAAAGAAACGAATGTCTGTGTGAAACAATTTCAAGATATGGTTGAAGTCCTCTCTCTCCATCCCGCTTCCCTACCAAAAGGGAAAAGAAAAAAGAAAATGCATGCAACCCTTCCCTGTGGATTTGTGCCCATGCACTTGCACACGTGTTGTTGAATTTCATATGAAGCTGCATTTACTTGTAATTTCATGAGTTTGATTTTCAGCTCGAGGTAGGTCTGGAAAGTGGAAATTTTAATTTAGCTTGTGTATATGGTTTGATTTTTTAAGTATCACTTCTGCAAGTTAGTGATGGAGCTGGTCTGCGTAAGGATTTTGATCGGTGATAGTTAGATAGTTTTGTCCAGTGTAGGCTTGTTTGGCACTAAATCTTGATGCTGGGGTAGGAAGACCGAGATAAATTATCAGCTGAATATGCAGACAATTAATTTTTTGACAAGACCACCATTCAAATTTGAGATATGGGGTTGGTAAAATACTTTTTGAGTTGAAGTAAGAGTGGGGAATGATCCACCAATAATTGTAACAAATTATTGATGTACTGCTGATTTATTGGCATATTCCCTTCGGTGGAACAATATTTTCTATACTGGATCAAGTTTTGAAGCAGCATTAAATACTCAATTGCAATTGTTTTGTGAATTTGATCTTGAAATGGCGGTAGCATGGCACCAACCTTAATTTGCGTTCTGTCCTAATAATCCTCTCAGGCGGATAGCGGGAAGCAAGGATCAGATCGCTCCTCAAGTTTTCAACCCGCAGTTGGAGACTTGGATGATGATGAGTGTTTAGGACAGGCACCAGATTCATTTTTTATGGTGCCACAGGTCCATTCTCCACCTACATTATCGGGGCTTTCCTGGTCTAAAAACTACCGGAATCCATCTGATTCTGCTGTATTTGTGCCTGATGTAAGCTCTTCTCCCTTGCGAAGCTTCCAACACTATCCTCAACTGCATTCTACGAACTCAAAACGGAGAAGGCAATTCTGATACATGCTCCAAGCTTTTACCCTGGATGTAAGAGGATCACTTCACATTACCTGCGCAATGGATAAGGTACATGCCGTGCTATTAGCCTAAAGGTTTCATGTTTATCGAGCTTGATTTGTTTTAGCTGTTAGCTGTGGGGGGAACATTTACTTCTCGCTTGTTTGTAGGTTTGTTTTATTAACTAGCGTTCCATTGTCATTTCTCTTGTATGAAGGTTTGTTTAGTTGTGCTAGTGTTCCACAGTCATCAAAACGAAGCAAATGATGTAGTTTTTCTTGGTTTTTGATATTTAAAGTTGGATGAAAAAGTTATTTTATTGTGAATTCTTCTTAATATGCATTTCTAAATTAACCGTAACCGAATCATCTTTTTCAATTTGTTGTCAACTCGACTGGAGAGTGTACCGAAGATTATCATCTTATGATGGAAATGTAACCTTTTGTTGCTTGTATGGGACATACTACACTAGAGCAGAACAAAAGAAAAGTTTGAGGTTTCAAGTTATGGAATTTACAGACGAATATATCAAAGTTACCAATTTTTCTGTCTGGAACAGCGTCTCAAATTCGCGATGAGGGAAAATGGAGAATCTGAGAGTGAGTGGCATATCTGTAGCCTTTGCTCTTCCCTTTTCCTTAAAATCAACATTTATGGATTCTTCAGCATTGAAAACCATGATTTCATGGACTTGCAGCAAGGAGATTGTGTTAGCAGACTAATTTTGTAAACTATGCATGCAAGTTTTGGAGAAATATTTGCTGCATAAGGACTGCTAAATGCTTCCACAGATATGTTGATTGTAAGTATTATACCCTAAGTCCAATCAATTTTGGACATAAATATTTTTGATATATAATTAATGCAATTTAATGGCAGATCTATTATTTAATTAGTAGACAATTAAATAAATAATAGAGTCCGTCGATTCAAATCTTCGTAATTTGTTAATCACAAGGAGTTTTGATTGTGAGATACAAGTTACATTTGATTGAATCTTAAATTGTCCGTGGTTATAAGTAATAATGAGATACGAATATCGTTATTAAGAATAGATCATCATGTGTGGCATTTCTTACTTATGAAGTAAGTAGCTAATCTCACAAGTTAAAGTGTGATGACACTTAAATGAATACGTAGATGTTTTGTTATAAAACAAAATATTGGAGACCGGTCGAGAGATTCCACATGGATGACTATTTGAGTGTCAGTGGTTAATCTCTAACGTTCGATAGTGGAATTGGTCCTTTTGACTTGAGGTCGTTATAATACTTTATATGAGGACGGTCATGCTTTGACGGTATTGGATGTTGCTCTCTCAATGGCTGCTAATACGGCATCGTTCGGGTATGTCAATAATCATATGAAGGTTGTGAATGATCAATAGAGGATTCGTCACTCTTAGATAGTAAGAGATTATGATCTGCGTTTCATTCAATTAAGTCGATATCGAAATCCTTGGCCAATGTGTACTCGTAAGTCGAAAAGAAGTTTTCGACTTATATTGACTGAATAGTGGAGTGAAAGATATGATCGATAATCGAGATTGACATACTTTCATATCTCGTAATTGATCGGATCATATTGACGAAGGGATTATAGTTTCACGGTAAATGAACGAGTTTGGTTTTGTCATACCACATGACATTTCCTGTCACATGTATTGTCACGACACATTGATAGATGTCAATTTGGGACGGCGAGTGTGAATTGATGATAAATTAAAAAGGTGTTTTAATTTATCAATTTTGATTAGATCAAAATAATATTTCACATCGTTAGATATCGTGACTAGGAACCTGATGGGTCGCACACAAAAGAGAATTGGAAGATTGTAATTTGTCAATTAATTAATTTAACAATCGTTGAATAAATTAATTAATTGGTTTGGTTATTTATAGGTCCGAGTTAGTTAATTGGATTAATTAATTCACGGACTGGATTAATTAAATGGATTAATTAAATATTGGACCGGATCAGGTTAGGCCCATTTGAGCTTATATAAATACATGGCTAGAGTTTTCAATTCATATGTGTTTTTTCTCATAATTATTCTTGCTAGTACAAGAGGAGAAAATCATGATAGCTACAATCTTGTTCTCTGTGTGGATCACTGTTGGAGGCTGGACAATTGGACAGCTATGGGTGGCGAATCAAGATTGTTGGAACGAAAAGAATAACAAAGAAGTTTGCAGATCTGGAAAAAGTACAATCTTATCACAATTTTTATCTAAACACAAAGGCGATTCTTAGTGGGAATCGAAAATTGTTTTAATTTTCGCTGCGCATGTTAAGTAGATTCTTAACAGTGATATCAAAGCCTACTTTGTGTTTGTTAGAAATTGTTTAACATTTTGTACAATCAAAAGTTGGTTATTATACATTTACTAGTTTCTAGCAATTAATGAAAATTTGATTTTCATTTTTTTTTGAAATCTAGTTTTGAAAACAAGATAAAAAATAATAATAAAATATGGTAATGGATCTGAAAATCGGGCAGCAACCGGAGCTGCCTAGTGCTGCCTGACGACTTAGTATGACAGCAGCAATAGCCGAACACAGCAGCGCGCGACGCTGTTGTTGTTCATCATAGCAGCGCCTTCAAGCCGGAAAAGGGCCAGCGACGCCTCAGAAATTTGAAGAATAAAGAAATTGGTGAATTTCCTAGGTTTTCAGATTCGGGTTAGGTGATTTGGAGGCGGGGGCTTCCTCTGCAATTATAGTAATTATGGGTCCCTGTCTGCAATTATAAGAATGGGGTCAAAATTGCAATTTTTAAATGGATGGCTTGTCATGCAATTTTCGAAATTGAGGGACTTGCTTTTAATTTCATTCTTGGGTCAACTTGCAATTTTCAAAAGGGTTTTGAATTTAAATATTAAAATGGTTTTAAAAGTTAGGTTTTTAATTATGTTTGACCAATAATTTTAATTTTGATCCAGGTTTAAAATTTTATTTAAATTTGACGACACTTTATATTTTTTGTTAAAATTGAATTTTAACTTAAATATTAAACTTTGATCCTAATTGAATTTTATTTTATTTAGGGGCGTTATCATAAATTAAAATATTAATTCAATTTAAATTAGAGTTTGACTCTAATTTAATACTTAATTAAAATTTGATTTTAATTAATTATTCACCTCGAATATATTCTAGAAGTTAGAATCGGATTCTAATCTGACGTTTAATTGAAATTTGATTTTAATTAAATTGTCTTACCCTAAAATTTTCCTTGGGATTAGAGTTGGACTCTGATTTAATATTTAATTAAAATTTGATTTTAATTAAATAATTTACCCTAGCATTTCTTGAATTTAGAATTGGATTCTAATTTGACATTTAATTAAATTGTCTCGCCCTGAATTTCTTCTCGGAATTAGAGTTGGACTCTAATTTGATATTTAATTGAAATATGATTTTGATTAAATAAATTCGCCCTAAAATTTTGGAATTAGAGTTGGACTCTAATTTTGTTATTTAATTAACATTTGATTTTAATTAAATTCAACTGCCTTAAATTTTGAAATTAGAGTTTGACACTAATTTGATATTTATCCCGCCCTATAATTGTTGAGTTAGAGTTGGACTCTAATTCGTTATTTAATTAAAATTTGATTTTAATTAAATATGCCCGCTAATTAAATAATTGATTAATATGGTTAATTAATTATTTAATTGTTTCGATTCATTTTTCTAAAAGAGTTTAGATGATCTTAATTGCTAGAAACTTGAAACATGTTTTCATGTAATATTAGATATTATATATACATACATTTATGTAATGAATGTATTATTAGTGGACGATTATGAACTCGACCATATGGATGTGTTGAATGGTTAATTTTTATTCTTGTCATTTTGTGAGCCTGCGAACTCTTAATTGTTTTGGGCCTGCGAGCCCGTTATTATTGTTATTATTATGGGCCTGCGAGTCTAATTTCGTTTAGGCCTGCGTGCCATCTAATATAGGATACATGTTGCAATTGGACTAATTAAAGAAAAAAGAAGAGGAGGAGACCATGGAGATGGTGCATTGATACTGATCAATGTAATATCCCCTAAAAATTGACCAACTAGTCTTCCTTATGGCTCGGGAAGAGTAGATTGTAAAGTCCATAATCGTCCACACTATTATATTATGTTATATATATATTTATTTGCATGGTAGATGTATAATAAAATATATATGATTGTTACAATGAGACCCTTGAATGCAAAATTCCTTCGTAAAATATTAAGTCACATTTATAATCGCCTTTCATCATTATAGTGAAAAATCAGAGTCCCAAATGATCTCAACTTGTTGAGTACACTCATAGATGGTCTATTAGGGATATGTTTAACACTATGAAATATTTGATATTTCTAAATGATGGGTTTGACTTAACTAAAATCTATCTTTTGTGAGTACACTCAAAGAGATAAATTTTAAACAAAGAGATAAATTTTAGAGGCATGTTAAACTAATACATAAGATGTGTGAAGATAAAGAGTTGTCAGCTTAATGATCTAGAAATTATATGGAGATACAATTGATAATACTATCTATGCAAATGTTATATTAAGGCTTGTTGAGTACACTCAAGATCTTAATATAATAGATGGGATTCCAGCCCACTGAGAATCAAGTATGGACTCCATAAATTTATGTAAGAGGGTCACAAATTTTAGTTAAACAGTGGGAGCATAATTAATTTAATAAAAGTCCATGTTAAATTAATTGATGTATTTTATATATTATTTATTTTCTTTTCATCATTTACATTGAACCTTAAGTAACCATATGTTTTGAACGGCATACTAGATGTCAACAACCAAACTAGATTTTCTTAATTGACACTGCAATTTGAGAATTGTTCTCATGCATGAGAAAATTGGTCACGTCCTTGAGTAACCCTTTCCAGAGACAACTGCTGATGACTCGATTAAAGAAGAGATGTCTACTGTAATAAACGCAGTGATGACGATAGTACTGCAACGTATGTGATACTTGCAACTATGTCACCTGAGTTACAGAAGCAACATGAAAGTATATATGCTAACATGATAACACATGATTTTTCATTTCAAAGAATTGTATGATAATAATCATGTGTAGAAGGATATGAGACTTCCAAACAACTATACCGATGCAAAGTGACAATAGAATCTTCAGTCAATGTCATGTACTGAAGATGATTGACATGAGAAGTGTCTCAATTGAGTTCAATCATTAACTATGAATTAAGTATTGACTTAACTCTGCAATCTCTATCATAGAGTTATTCATTCTAATTATGAATTATGATATGAATAAGCTCGAATGCATACTTATTAAGTTGTT